AGCAGTAGCTGCACTAGCTTTTCTTTCCTTTTTGGAGCTGGAACCGTCTCGAAGGTCGAACTGGCTGGCTGTGACATCTTCCTCTGATCGCAGTGCTAGTGACACGTTTCTGTGAAAAGATTACTCTTATTAGAAAATCATTCGCCTACTCTATGTTAGGCAGATGATGCAATTATTTATAACAAAACGTTCATTTTTATTAACAAAGGGGAGGGGGGGGGGGCTAGTAAACAACCAAATATTTTTAGGGTGTTGAAATTCTGTCCAATTTTTAGTTCTACTCTTAGATGTATTTCTATGTCATTAAGTATTGGAAAAAATAATATAGAATGTTATAATTTCTCTCACCTGGAATCTGTAGATAGCTTTGAAGTTTTCCCATTCTTCTTCCACTTAGAACTATCGCATGCCATGTTCTTCAGAACAGTGGCATCCTTCAACCCTGGTGACCCTGGAGGCGACACATGTTCTCTGATGGTGTCTTCAAGATTGGAAGGAGCATACCCTGAGTCGTTGTTCCCATTTGGGTCTGGGGTAGCTTGAGCTTTGATATTCTTTTTTGGTGTGCTAGGAGAAGAAAAAGAAATTGGTGAATGAATATAGAACACAATTATAACTTATAGTTTTGAGATTTAATCAAAATTCGCAACCTTGCCTTGAAATGAAATTAAAGATTTTAAGCCTATCAAAAATATACAAAGATTAATATACAGTATTTAGGGTAAAATAGGGTGATATTAAATTAAGAATACCTTTTACGATAAAAAACAAATTAGATTAATATTTTGGGAAGCGTCGCGGCCATTTTGAATTATTGCAATCGTCACTTGAATGATGATCCATTAATCACTCGGCAGTCCATTCATTATTGTTGTTCCCAGTTACGTCAACATTTCAACAGATTCAAAAGAATTTCAAATGAAAGCAGTTATCGTTGGGTTATTATATTTTCTGTTTAATTTCAGCATTTGTCAAAATATAGCACCTTTTGTCGTTGGAAGGTTTTGAGGGTAGTGTAGGTTTTTGAGGGAGAAAATGTTTTAAGTTTTTGTTTGCATTCGTTAATCTTTGAGTGAAAGTGTGTGTGTGTTGTGTTTCACAATTTAACATTTAATAACAGCACCCTAATTGTAAGTCTAGGTTGCGCATAGTTAATATGCAGAAGTCAAATAGTCCTATAACAATCTCAACAACTCCAACTCTGCTGGAGTCAGCTTATTAACGCATGGGCTGAGTCGTCTTGCGTATAAGAAGGAGGCTAGGTTGGGTTATTTCGCTTCCAAAAATGGTTGTATTGTTGTAGATATGTAAGGGTAACGTGTTAATTCTACAAAATAATTGGCCAATTGGAGTATGTAAAATCGTTATTTTTGAAATGTTAAGTTTTAATAATGATTTGGAAATTGTATGACAAGCAAATTCAACAAGTACAATATTTCAATACAATCACAGCATAGTATAACACAAATTTGCTTTCTCGGTCCTTATATAATTGTTTACTTATGTTTTCTTAAAACTCTGAAACTACGCAACGGATTAGGGTGCGATTTCTTTTAAAAGATAGAGTAATTAAAGAGGAAGGTTTAAATGTAAAATAACATCCATTAAATAGCCGAGAAATTTCGTATCAGCATCGCACCCATGTGAAGCTGGAACAGATCCCTAGTATTAAATAATTTCATCTTACGTTATTCTACAGAACAGACCTACATTATAACAAGCTAGTAATACCTTTACTTTACTAAAGCATTGAGGCTTTTTGAATAATTAAATTAAAGTAATCAATATCATTGTGTTCCAAGATATTTCCAATGTGTTCACTTCTGAATTAATAACTCACAGACAAAGATGTCGATCCATTATTCATATTCTTGACTTTGTGATAATAGTTATAAAGGAATTTATATTATATCGTATAAATACTAGAGCTAAGGAAATTGTTAATTTGGGCTTTACAGTATTTATATTATTTAATAACATAACATGAAGTCTTTTCATCTTTAGACTTCTAATATTATAAATACGAAAGTTTATAAGTAAGGATGGATGAACTACTGAATGGATTTGAATGAAAATTGACATCTAGTTAGATTACTGCTAGTTTGCAGAGTTGGTCGGTACTGCGGCCTGGAGCAGGAGAATAAATGAGGTGGTTTTTTAGTCAGTACGAGTCTGACATTCCCTATTGCCTAAAACTCGGAAAGAAAAGTCATTTAATTTTTTTCTCAGTTACCCAACCTCCGCGCAACGTATCGCGATTTCGATTTGAACACTTTTCAACGTCAAACAAATATAAAAATATCAAGTGACAGTCTGTCGGTCAGTCCTATTAGTGAAGCTATTCGCTCGTTCCAAAGTGTAGATTCTAATAGATAAAAACGAGCAAAAAACTACTTGATTACATAATTAAATTGGTTCCATTATGTCAAATTTAGTCTATTCTGGTTTTCAGGGGTAAAGCAGCAATAGAGCACACAGATTGGTAATAAGCAATCAGCGTTGCCCTATCGACATTCGCTTCACTAAGTTACTACTTATTGCGTTTCCGGAATTTCAAGATGGGCACGTCTAGAATCTAATAGTATGATACCACGGGAGTGATACCATATGACCTCACAGAAGACCAGCGTGACAGAATCACAGCGATGTGTTTCACCGTGTGAGTGAGGTTACTGCAGGCACAATTCTTCTTCCCCGCCCCCCAATATTTAAATCTTCGAAATAGGGTTTATATACACATTGCAGGTGACTATGGGCGAGCCGATGGCTTGCCATTTAGTACAATCTATGACATAAAAATAGATATAATAAAGTTTATTGCCATCTTACTTAGCTGTCTCCTCCGTGACAGTGGCCAGCATGAACTCTGTGGACTTGTCGTTCGGGATCACGTGGCATTCCTCCGCGTCTGCCTCCAAATCCGCTGACCTCTTGTCGAAGCTGTTTCAGAAACAAATTATTATTTTAAAAGTATGTTTATTCCTAACCAGTAGGGCAGTAATTATCAACAGGGGGGTTTTTAGTCAGTAAGAGTCTGACACTCCCCCCCGCCCGACCCTGGGCAGGAGAAGTCATTTGATGATTTTCCCCTCACAAAAAAGGGCAGTAATTATAGGTCATCATCTTCCTGCCCTTGTCCCGTTTTATTTGGGGTCGGCGCAATATGTTTTTTTCTTCCATTCTGTCCTGTCACTCGTCACGCTATCGCTAACTCCTCTGTCTTCCATATCACTTCTCACACAATCCATCCATATTTTCTTTGGTCTCCCCCTCCCTCTCCATCCATCCACATTTATACTCATGACTCTTTTTGTTACATGCTTTTCATCCCTCCTTTTCACATGGCCATACCAAGACAAACGGTTCCCTTTCAACTTTTCAGTCACTGGCGCCACTTTCAAACTTCCTCTAATATACTCATTTCTCACTTTATCCATTCTCGTCACACCACACGAAATTATAGGTAATCTACCAAAAATATCCCCAAAAATAGCGTCTTGCAGCAATAGGGTATTGTAAGTCCTTTCCACTGGATAGGTCATTAGCTTGTTTACCACCGCAGTTGTAATAAACAAACAGGTTTTGAGAGATTTAGAACATTTTATAAACATTTTACATAATATGCTGTTGCATATCAAAATTCATTTACGAGATTCAGAAAATCTTCTGTTACTTTTTTAACCATTAATTTGCACAAACAAGTTTTGGTATATCAAGTTTAGTTATTAATAAACTAATTATACAAATAACTAAGGCAGAGGGTAATAGTACCTAATATTCCTCGAGACCCTAGCGTCTTTAATAAAATACTATTTAAATTACACAATTGTCCTCGTCGCCTGTAGCCATTTCTTGTAAATAAGCACCTTGTGAATCCCACTGTTACGCTCGAATCAGCGTTGAAATAAATAGAAACGTTTTTCCAAATTACGAGCAGCATTCTAGTCTAGCGTAATTTATTATTAAGGTGCTGTAATTGAAACGGAACTTTCATTGTAAAATGAACCTTATTGCAATGTACTTGAGTTGTGTAGCTGACATAAATTTCATCAAATCTTCCAGCAACCGTATAGATCAACGTTTTATGAATACCTTTTGTCATCAAGTACTTTGGGCGGACAATTCTCAGGTAGGTGCGTTGATATTGTACAGCAATTTCAAATGTTTTGTTGATGCTTTTGATCCTGAAAGCCTTATATTATTTTTCCTCTTAACAATTGTATCGGTAACTTTGGTTATGACAATATATAATCACTAAATTTTACTCCTGTGTGCGTGGAGAAACTTTGTAGCTATAAATTGAGTCACACACATCAGAATGATAAGGTAATAATAATTAAAACTGTCGTATTTAGAAAATTAAACCTTAAATCAAGTATAACTAAGTTCAATGTAGCCGAGCGTCGTATGAAGATAGAAATAGAGATAAAATTACAATAACAAAACAAAGGCAATCCTCCGTAATTAAGAGGTGAAGCTTCAACGGGAACGTTCCTCCACACGTGTGTTACAGGTTATTCCAAGACTTAAGAAAATAATTATATTAAACTCTCCAACCCTTTGGCGAGGCAATGTTCATTTTGAAGGAGCTTCCATATTAATTTCTTTACTAACTAGATACATACTATAAAAGATAATTAAATTAGCTTTACTTTTGATAGCAGGTACATTGTTATTAAGTGTTCTCTTATAATAACAGTTGAGCGTATAAACACTTCTTATTTTTTTGACGGTCATATTTTTGAGTCTTTCTATTGTTTCTTTAGTATCTATTTTTCTTCGTTCTTTAAAGTTTTTTTCGTCCTTCCTATTGACTAATCGAACTGCACACAAACTCCTATGTCTTTGTTTTTTATAATTATATTCATAGGAGAGTACATATCACCTAACTGTTGGTTAGAGGTCCGTTATCGACCCTTTACAGATTCGTTATAAAACCCAAATTAGAATAAAAACGTTGGGTTTTTGTGAACATCTATTTAAGCATATGTATGTGGTCCTCACCTGTCTTCATGATCATCTTCATTACTTCCAGACCCAGTGTTGGTAGGTCTGTCGTCATGTAATGCAGTTTCTGCCAGCCTTCTTGTTTGAGCCACATTTTCTATCACCACCGCTGTAGTAGCTCCTGTGTTGGGGTCTCCAGCTACTGGTGGCTTTTTGGCTGCTCTCTGCTTTTTTGCTCGGTTTCTTAACGCCTGTGTATGTAGAACAAATTTAGTAAACGTAATGTTATTGACTTGTAAGACTTATACATACATCGTCAGAGTATCTTTCGTCAATTTTCTACATTAGTACGTTAACCTACGTACATCGTCTATTTCAGCTAGCTTCAGTCTAAACGAAAATAATAAAAGCATATAAATGTCTACCTGTTCCAGAGAATTCGAACGTAAAATCTCACACGTGTTACGAGTTCGACCTACAAATTTTGCCAGTTTGCAAAAATCCGTTACAACAGCATCCTGTACACATGTACAGTATGTATATTGTAACGTGAACAACAAAACCGGGGCCGTGCCAAAACGTGTCTACGACACATGCTGGATACTACCCCAATAGGTTAGGTATGCCATATTTAAAACTTCGTTGCTTAGTTATTAAGTTTCGGTGCTATGTTATTGAATTTTCCCCTAAATAGAACATCGGTCGCTTTTTGAATTTTTGAATAGTTCCCAGTAGTTTAAGGGACCGTTCATTGGTCGCTTATGTGCCTTTTATTGCTTGAGTAGTCTTGCGAACGGAAAAACATGTTAGTAATTATTTCTACATTATTTAGTTGTATAGCATAGGTCTGTTCCATTTGTATCACTGAAAGCCATGCTCTAGACTAGAAAGAAACAAAATGGATAATTATTTTTTTGAAATAAATTGTTCTAGCAGGGACTCATTAGCGATCAATTGGTAAACTATTGAGACAACAATATCTTTCAGAATATCTTCTGGATGAGTAAAAAATCGTCGTTATTTTCGTTGGCCACACCATTAAAACTGATCGCGAGCTATTTTCTGATGTAGTAACTAAATGTGGTTTTTGACAAATATTTAGGTCTAAATAAACCGCATATTTTATTCATTTAAATTGAAAGCTTAGTGTAAATAGTACCTAAAGTTATCTCACATTAATTTCAACCACAATTTTAGCAAGTATCTATTGGTCAAATCCACGACCTTAAGCCCATTAGGTTGTCATTTTGGAATTTGAGTTAAATACTCAGAATATATTATTTATGCTTGTCTGGACAAACCAATTGAGATGGGACTTAATACCAGTCTCGAATATCGAACCTAATTCCAACTTGGAGGTCACATATTTCGGGTCTAATTGAAACTGGTATGGTAACCTTGTTAACGCTAAGTGATATTCCGCCATGTATACGTAGACATAGAGGTGTCATTCCTTCGTTATGAAGTGGTGAACGTTTTAGTACGAGACTAAGGAAATGCATTCTGTGTGGCAGAGCACGATTTTGTTAGGTATGTTTTGTTGGGGTAATTCAAGTTGTTCTGAATAAGGAAGAGAGAATTCTCTGTTAGAATAAGATGTTCTGTGGCAAAAGCTCTTTTCTGTTACAACAAATATGGCAGTACTCCTGTGTTACCTATGAAAGGTACCAAATCACGGGCAAAGCTGTAACGTCTTACAGCTTACAAATAATACCAACCTTAAAAATATTATAATAAAGGAACATCATCATGATGCAGGGGATATAGAAGGATCCTAGTGAGGAGTAGATGACGTAGTTCTGGCTGTTGAAGAGGCACTCGTCGAAGTTCCTGTCAGGCGTGTCGTTGAGGCCGAGGACTATGGGAGCACCAATAGCTGCGGAGATCAGCCAGACCAGGACTATGGTGAACCAGACCCGTCTGTTGTTCTTATGTTTCGCGTATTTTATTGGTTGTGTTACTGCAATGTACCTGGTGGAAAATATGATGAAGGTTAAGAATTTGTTTAGATGTGATGAGGATTTTTCTTTTATAAAATATATACGTGCAAAATCGTATAAATCTATTTAAAAAAATTGGAGATTCGGAATTTTCGTTTGTTTCTTATAGAAAAAAATATTAGCATTATATCTGTCTATAATCGACCCTTAGTGTCTGAATTTTTTTTTGTCATACACGTAACATATCATATCAGAGAGATTTCTGGCTAGTATATAAAGATTTCAGAACATATATTTCGCATTCCTAATCCTGAAATCGTTAAAATTGAAATAATTTGATCAACAATCATAAATTATGATTCCATATTAGTTGAATTAACAAAGTTAAAAACAAAATGTCCTTCAATATAAATATCAATTGTGCATTGTAAAAGAAACACATTCGGATCTATCGAAGTGAAGCCCAGTGAACAAGCATAGCTGACACAATTCGATGCGGTTAGAGAGCAATTGGCTGCACATATGCGGAATTGATTCCTGAGCGGTGGAACAGGACGCAGGCGGAGAGCTCACTTCATTTTGCTGTTTGTGTTTATAGAAGAGCAATTTTTAATAAAAAGTTAATCGTTAAGTTAATAAAATGTACAACGCGTTGAAGGTACATTTCAAAAATTATTTTGTACCTAGGACTATTCTCCGTCCGATGTCATTTGCATTTATAAGTTTAATATAAAATAACTTACAGTATTAAATAAAATGAAAACAAATGTGATTGTGACAATGAGAATTATTATTCTGTCAAATTAGGAAGATTATTGGGAATCGAGAAATTGGAAATGTAAGGAAGATTTCCTGGTAAACCTAACCTAACCTACCGACCTGCCCGAATGCTATGATAAACCCTTCTTATTTAAAGAAGTCCAACTATAGACGGTGACAAGTAGTTGATGTTATTGAAGAAAATGATGATAATCACAATAAATATTTCAGACTAGGTACTGACCTATCAACAGATATGGCGACGAGGTTGAATATGCTAGATGTAGAGGAAGTGACGTCCATTGCGATGTAAACATCACACACGAAGGCTGGTAGACCCCACGAGCCGTTTACCTGGAACAAATCAAATTGTTAGTTAAATTATGCTTATCATCATGGAAAAGGATCAATACACGTTTCTCCCCATTGCTTGGTGAGCGAGAGGAAGACTCTTATTGACTAAAAACACTCCGTGCCTTCTCCACCAGGCTTTGGTCGCGGTATATTATTGGGCTTGACCTGCAACCAAGCTGAAGAAAATCCTTCTGAACTTTTTAGTGGATTTTAATTAGATCTGCAAACCTGTACATTATTTTGTTCTGTTATTATTTGTTGACTGCACGGTTGGTGCAGTGGCTGGGCAACTGGCTGCCGCGCAACGTGTCGCGGGTTTCATTCCCGCACGTAACAACTCTTTGTGTGATTTACATATTGTTGTTCGGGGTCTGGGTGTCATGTGTATGTGAAATTGTATGTTTGTAACCGCACCCACGACACAGGAGAAAATACTAGTGTGGGGCAAAAGTTTTATTGAAAGAAAAGAATTAGGAAGTATAATGAACTTTTAATGTGTCATAATGAATTATTACTTTCAAATAATGCTGAAAAACCTGTTGTCAACCTACTACTACGATCTTCGTTTACAGGTCTTGGTATAGTGATAATAATTATTTTTTATTTAAAGTATAATATTTATCTTATAAAAACCTAAGTCACAAAGGATTATACAATTAACGTATTTTCCTGAATTTCGCTGAATAGATTAAACCCTTTTTATCTTAGATTACAGAGAGCCTAACAAGTACGGCAGTCCAATTATCCTTCACGAATCTTATTTACTTTAATGCAAATAAATAATTAATATAAAGACAAGAAAACCGCGATACTGAAACGAGGTAGAAGTCACTGGGAAATCAGATTGCACCCAGAGATAACAACCTCCTTATCACAAGGGTGTCCTAAATCCAGAAATAAACGCCTCCAGTCTGATATTTAATTTAGATTAAACAAAACGTGTTTACAGTATGATATTGGTATCGTATTTCCACTTTGGTTTGGGCGTGTTATAACAAATGTGACCATCTGTCACGCTCCGTGATTTATGTGAGCGACGTGATGCAGCGTGTCAAGTACGCAGCGAGTGACAACAGATCATGTGCCGTCCCGTTTGGAATCAGATGGTAATGTTTTTCTAATAAGTCTTCGTTTTAATATCATCCTGTAGGTTCTAAGTAATCTGTACTAATATTATAAAGAGGCAAAATTTGTAAGTTTGTATGTGGGGGGAAATCTTTTTCAATCTTTTAGCAATCGGCGTCCCCCATGTACACCGGCAACACCAGAGGTGTTACAAGTGCGTGGCCATTCTTTGTCGATAAGATTTTCGGAGATTCAGGAATTATGCAGGAATGGAGGGAGAAAAAGAGTTTGGCTCGAAGGAACCAAACTTATACGGTGAAGTGAAGTTTTACATAACTGTAATTTGACTGCACCGTTGCCGCGGTGGCTGGGTAATTGACTGCAACAAGGGCTGGAACAACTATTTGTGTAATCCATAAATAGGTAGTTGTTCCGTGTCTAGCTTTGCATGTATGTGAAATTGTATGATTGTAAACGCAACCACGACACAGGAAAAATCCCAGTGTAGGGCAAAAGTAAAAAGAAAATTGATATTTTCATTTTGATTTTTAAAAAAGAGGAATAGCAAATTGTTACAAAACTATGCATTAACTTAAACTCATAAACCTGTAAAACTATAGGGCAAAAACTCCATCAACTCAAGTAATCCATTAAAATTGAGCTGTTCAAAAACAGCTCACTGGCCCAGCTCATTCTTTCGCGATTAACCACATATTTACGGAGCTTACATCGGCGTGCAGTTGGTACACAGTTCGATGCCTGCGCATGAATATTCATGATATTGATACGACGCTGATCCATGTGATCAGGTTGCGGGGAACGGCAAATTGGAAAAGTTACATGTGTGTGTGTGTAAGTGTGATATTATCGCGTGCCTGTGTGTGTTTTGAGATGTGGGCTGCTTTTATAGATCTGTAATGATATTGGTTTTTGTTCTAGTGATATTTTGACCTTCAAGAAAATTATACAGAAGTGTGTACATATAGAATTCTAAAAGATATGTTAGCGTAAGGTTGAGTAAACAGTTATAGATTCTAGACATTATTTTGCTCAACAACTATTGACTTGAATCCGAAACCAAAGTCTTATAACCACGATCGAAGGTATCACAGCATCAGGCTTAAAATGCCCACTGCTTGCAAACACCACTCACATGGTGAAGGTAAGCATTAATAATCACGATTGTTCAAGGCGGATTGGTGATTTCAAACTAATAATTATTTAAATTCAAGATGTTTCCCTTCACTATTTCACACTGGTTTTTTTATGTAATAGGTCAGCAAACGAGCAGACTGATTACTTGATGGTAAGCAATCAGCGCCGCCGCAGCAAACAACGTAGGAGATACGAGTGCGTTGCCGACCTTTTAGGGATTAGGGATTGAGGAGGGATTATGGGAGTGGAAGGATTGGGCCTCCGGTAACTCACACGGCGAAACACAACGCTGTGGTTGTTTCACGCCGGTTTTCTGTGAGGCCTTGGTATCACTCCGGTCGAGCCGACAAATAATCAAATCAAATAATACCTCGTTAAACAGTATCTCGACCGTCAAAAAGTATAAAAAGTTATAGTACCAAAACTAAGGTAAACAATGAAACTAAAATTCCTCCATGAGGACAATTGAAAACAAGCCCTACCATCAATGACAAAGGAAACATCGATTGGAGTTTTAGTAATAAAACTGACAAAACTTACAAACTTATTTGTTAATTTCCAAAATTGTCCGCACTCCGTCATCCCTCTTCCGACCTCCCATTTCCTTTTCCGGTGAACATAACGTGTGCCCTCTGACCTCTGTCTTGTCCTCCTATTTTATTAGTTTGTCCTCTCTAAGGTGGCAAGGTACCCTTTGTACTGAACGACACGGAGACGACACGATTTGCTTTTATTATTTGAGTAGTTTTGGTAATTGTGAAATTGCAACGTTAATGTTGAGCTCTATGTGTGTTAGAATAAACCTTATTTTTAAGTAACTTGTTTGTTTTTGGTAACGTCCAATGTACAGATCATAATTATAAACTTGTAGATAGAATACCCGTATCGAACAAATATTTTTGTATGAACCCCAAAAGGTTGTTGTATGATATGTGTAAGCCAAATTACATAAGTATAGGTTATCAAGACTGAAGACGCAGGAAGAATACCTATTAGTATAGAAAACATAAGAAATGTTCTCTATACTAATGGATATTTTATGGGTAATAAAATAAAATATTTTTAAGGATTTTTTTTTATGAAATAGCTCAGCAAACGAGCTGATGGATTATCTGATGGCAAGCCCTTACAACGGAGTTTTAGGGTTTAGGGTTTTGAGATATTTAAGGAAGTTGAAGGATAGGGAGGTGGGAAGGATTGGGTCTCCACTAACCTCACTCACACGGCGGAACATCACGCTGCGGTTCGTTCACGCCAGTTTTCTGTGAGGTATAGCCTCGCTATGGTATAACTCTGGTTGAGCCAATCCATTTGTGCCGAAAGCTTAGCTCTCCCATACATAACCAACTTCACCACTTCACGAATAAAGTAAATCGTGTACTATAAATAGATTTAATAAGTGAACATCTGACGCCGAGCGCTCACTGCACATTATAAACGGGCTGTGCCGGACAGGCGCCGATGTGTTTTCTCGAGCACCCGCACCCGCCATTACTACCGCTAGCAAAATGGAAAGAAAACATACATTTATAATGTTAGGTAACTATGTGGCTGTGTTTTCGTAACAAACCTATGTTCAGCCTGTTGTTTCTCATAGGATATCAATCCTGATATTCGAATATTAGAAGCTTATATATTCGCTTTCTAAGTGGTTTCAGTAACTATACATTTAGTAGTCTTTCTTTTGCAATATTTCAATATGTTTATTACGTAGCCAACTGGTTAAAATAACTATATTATATAATTCTTTTTAGTGAAAAATAATAGGTACCTATGAAATTGCCTTTTTGCATGAAAAAATTTAAACGAATTTTAAATTTGAAATGCGATGAGAATGTAACACTAATCAAGAAACAAATGACTACTTATGGAAAAAGAATCCCATGTTATTAAAACAAAATTAATTAGCCTTAGCCTAACAAAAACTATTTTGATTTGAAATGGCCAGTACTGCAGAACGGCAATTTCATAGGTAAAGACCTACCTATTATAATGTAATTTAAATTGGACCTAGGAAACAACCCAACGCAAGATACCTGTATAACCTTGCCTACGAAGAGTAAAATGTTACCACGCTTACCAGTTCCCAGATAAAATGCAGATCGCATGCATAACATTACATCAGAATAAATTATAATGGATGAGACATAAAGTTTGTTTGCTGGCGAATGAAATATGGCGCATCCAGGCTGCTTTCGTTTCTAATATCGTGGGTAGGCATGTGACCTCCTTTCTTTATAAATTACACTAGATCGTCTGTAATGTGTTTTCGTGAGGGCACGCGCGTCGCACGGATTATATTTGATACCGCATCTATTTCCTCCCTAAGACACGCCTATTTATATTGAAAGATAATTATTAATAGGAATTACTTAGATAGTTGATTGAGATCTAAGTGTTTGTTGTTATTTGCTTAAGATAACAGCGGTATTGCTATTGTGGATTTGCTTTGATATAGCTACTAAGGTATAGGATGTGTAAGAGTACGTTATTGTTAACCTTAAATCAAATTTCTGTCCGTTTTCACAGTCACCAAAGACTGGAGACATTAATTATGGGATAGCCATGCTTCAGCACGAATAGTTCTTCTCATACGATACCACGGGCTCACAAAAAATTGGCGAGAATCAACCAGACCTTTGTGTTTTGCCGTGTGAGTAAGGTTGTTGAGGACCCAATCTTTCTCTAAAACAGCTTATCCCCGAAAGCCTGGCAACGCAACTCCTCTTTTGTAGATGGGCGGTGCTGATGGCTTACTATCAGATATTGCGTATGCTCGTTTACCATCCTATGACATAAAAAAAAAGAATCCACAATCTTGATTGTGTAAATTCAAAATTTCAATGACACTCAGTTTCGAAAGAATAAGCCAAGTAGAAGTTTTGAAAGCCTTCCGTAAGTAATGGTGAATGCAATAAGGTGCAAAACCTCAACAAAGTTACCTTCCGACACAGATCGAACCTAAGGTTTCTTAACACACGGATTTATAACAGAGCGGTCTCATCCCACGTAAGCCATTTAGTAGTTCTGTATTAATTGCTATCTCATAATGTATTAAACAATTATTGTTCCACAAATCCACTCAAAACTACCTATATGTATATGCAAACAATCTCAAATAGACAAAAAAAACATCTGCCCAAATTACCTACAAGTAAAACACGACAATATTCGTGCAAAAAACTAACCAAAACATCAAAATAAATTACCAGAAATAGACACAACATTCTTTATTCCCGATAAACAAACCGCTTACATCGAGTAATATGATAAAAACGCGGTTCCCATTGACGCTCACTCACACTCAGTTTATATGCTATAAACGGGAGCCGAGGAAAAATATACCAAAACAAAAGGAGATCTTGCACAAAAGTATCGGGACATACACACTCGGTTACGGAATAATCGGACGGTTATCAGCTCGTTCGGGTTACCAGGGCTGCCGCGCTTTTCAAAGATGGCCGCCACAATTTATGGCGGGAATTTTGGGAAATATGGCCGATTACTTTAAATGATAATTTTGATGAGAATTAGTAATGTGATAGTGATTTTTTATTAAGTTATTATCACTATTTTTTTGTTAGGTATAATGTCTATGTATTTATTTTATGTAGTTTATGTTTTTGTATTGTGATATTGTTAGATGCATGTGTGTCGTGCATTTGTTTTATATTAGAATGATTTTTGTATCAAGGAACTTAATTAACATTATGTTATTAAGTTAAAAAAAATAATCTGATTCTAAAAATTACTACCAACATATTTTGTATTTAATTACGAAGTATATACATGTTCCGGAAATTATAATATTCACTAAAATAGTAATATGACAATAACGGCTTTACTCAATGCATATAACTATTAACTTACATAATAATAATAAGCGTTGATTGACAATAAAACCATGGATTGAAGCACTAACCCTTTTAATCTTTCGTTCAAACTGTGGAGCTGTACCCAGGTTGACCCCCAGTTAAGAAGGATCGGGGTCAACTCATCCAGTGACCTTTAACTGCGAACAGTAAACCACAGGATGTTCCAGGCAGTGATATACATACATACGTATTAATGTATATGGTATGGGCAGAGTGATCCAGTCCTAAGTAAACGCATATCGCCCGATAAACACATCATAGCTAGCTAAGCTCTTGTCTAACATGTTTTTCAAGTATTTTGTATGCTTTATATGATAGGTCATCGAGATGATAGGTTTTTGTGGTGATCAAATTTTTATTTACTGAGACTATCTAGTCTAGTACGAAGTTTTGTTTTGTTTGGCCTTCGCTGCCTTTAGCTCGGCTGTTATTAATGCCAAAATCTTTCAATGTTTCTCTAGTGATTCTAGGATCATATTTGTTTCTAAGACTTGTACATCTAGGTTTACTTATGGACAATAGGGCTGACACTTAAGTAGATGATACTACATAACAAGGCTGGTTTGAACTGGTTAAATATTAAAAACAACTACCTCTGCTTACCTCTTCAGAAAACCAAACACGTAATGGCACGTTACGTGAACTCGTTAAGAGCACAAGCAGACGAGTAGCAAAATAATTTTCAAATAACCCCAACATTTCCGTCACCTCACCGTAATTTCGAGCAGTGGCAGCCCTAGCTCCCGGCCCGTATATCCGTCCGGGCATTTTCGTCTACAACGACCGGGTATGTCACCGCCGAGTGGACGACGGATTATCACTGATAGATTGTGTGCGCTATTGCTTATGTTGTGCCACGGCTCCGTATTATCCCCACATTTTATTACAAAATAATATGAATTATCGTCTTCATATTCCGGAATAACGTTCAGATTAAATTATAACGCTTATCCTATTACTTTTATAGGACTTTGATTTAGATTTGTTGTAGTTACATGTGAGGGGAATACATAAAATGGTAATAACATCCCAAATATACAAATGGTCGAGAAAACGAAACAAAATATTTTTGTTCGTACAAACAATAACATAACAAAATGAAGTCGAATCCTTAATTCTTTATTCCTAACAGATGCGACCGACTCTAGGACAAAGTTTGAATACAAAACACAAGTTTTATTCAACCTTTAAAATGGCGCGAGCTACTAACTTCTAAATCCCCACCGCACCGCCATATCACTTAAGATTTTTTCATATTCAACTGCCGTTATTCCCGGAGCGGATTGCATAAACTTCTTAAGAACTTATTTCAAGCGAGTTTGGACTCTGTAATCGATGGGATAAGATTTGAAGAGGGTGAAAGAAAAAGTTTGTTAAAGCGTTCCCTCTGTGACAGCCAATCGTGGTTGAGTAGAAACGCTCTATGGCAAGCTTGTGTTACAAGAGGGCTATCCTTTTTAATACAGCCTCCATTTTTACCCTTTGAATTTGAAATAATACTGTCACGTGGCGAAAGCGTGATCGGAATATTGTGGTTAGGGTTGTGACTGCGGATATTCTGCTAGGATTCGGTTATGGTTGCGGTTATTCGGATCCGAGAAGGGTTGCATATACATATATTTGTCAAGTAAGGGATTCGAATTTGGATGCAGCATTGTAAATGTAAGCAAGCACATATTTCTTCAAGGAAAATTTGCCAATTTAGTATGGTTTTTTCGAGTAACTACCGTGTTCACAGAGAAATTTTTCCCTCTGTCCGTCTACTGGACACCATAATTAAATGAGATCGTTACAATAACAACATAGGACTCTTAGCATGGAGCTGCAGATTTTATTGAGGATAGCTCGCCATCAGACTACATATTAGACTAACAAGTCCATTAGGGCAGATATCTGCCAGGTTGGCAGACAAGGTTTGTCATTTAGATACCATAGCCAGGGAAGAACTAGAAATTTTGATATGAATGATATTGGAGATAGCCTACTTTGTTTAAGATATTAGTAAATAACTTACTCCATCAAACTCCAAGCGAACGCCGGCGTTCGCGCACCTTTTTTTCCTCGAATTAGCACGAATGAAAGGTTAAAATACTTTTGGAATACTCACAAAACATTTTTAAAACAAAACTTGATAAAATATCATACTTACAAAAAAAAAATATGTAAAACATAAATGTAAGACCTAAAAACAGGTCTAGTCCACTCTGAAAGCCCTAATCTTATTTGGAAATCAATGTCTACTTATAGTGGCGACATTTTGTAGAATAAAGTTGATCATGTAATATCGAAGTTGGGCCTCGACGTAGATCTCGGTGCTTTGGACGAGCTCCGAATTTTTACTGGCTTTTCATACAATATTGAATGTATTTTCACTTGCCTTCTGTAAACCGGAAATGATGTTATGTGTGTTCGAAGAAAAGGGGGATGGAATATTTTGTATCAAAATGTCTGAAGTGTTAGATTTACATAACACTACTCCATATCTTTTTTCTTGGCATCTGTAAATCAATATTTAAAAAAATATGTCTTTTGGGATTCGGCAATTGCCAGTCGATATGTCACCTGATACACCTAAGAGCATGAAGTCCCGGAGGCCTTTGCAAGAAAAGCTGGCCTTTTTATCCTTACCTCGTAGTTGTGAGCGTGAAAAAGGATAGAACAAATTCACTGAATGATTTTCCGCCTCAAAAAAAACTTGTTAAGCGTGAACCATTTAAAAGCTAACTTTAGGAGGATCATCTACGAATGGGTCGGCCTAACCGGAGTAATACCACAACCTCACAGGATACCGGCAGGAAATTACCATAGCGTGTGTTTCGCCGTGTGAGTAAGGTTACGGGAGGCCCAATCCCGCCCCTTCCCCTATCGCTTCGCGATCCTTATATCCGCAATCCCTATCTCCAAAAGGCCGGCAAAGCACTCGTCACTCCTTTCTTGTTGCGGGTGTCCATAGGTGGCGTCGATTGCTTACCATCAGGTAATCCGTCTGCTCGTTGCCGACTTATACCCTCAGAATACAGGTTTGTTCTGTATTCTGAGCTTATACCATAAAAAACCTATTCTCGAATGCCCTTAATCATTCCTTATCCCCAATAAAGAAAGCACTAGTATTGGTGTTTATGTTTGGTGCCAATTACTTACTTTCAAATGTACCACACATTTGTTTATCGCCCTTCTTCTTAAAAATAATCAACTTATAACAGTGTTTGGACAACCTCAGTAAGCAAATCAACAGATTGATATGTTACTTAAACTTATTGAAGGACTAACACTAGAAACTATACGTATAGGTAGCCACTTTATGCTAATCATCTGCTCAAATCAAACACAACTCTATTTGATGTGTCCTTAGCCGTGGCTAATTGACAGCTAATGCAATATGTACGTATTGATTGTCAGTTGTCAGTCCGTCTGTCATATTGTCAGTACAATAAGCTAGTTTCAATATAACCGTATGTTTCTATGAAAATGATCCACTTGAGTGAACTATCCTCCAGCGAGGTGATCTGACGATGAAAAAAAAAATATAATCGTATTATTTTTTACTTTATTATTATAATACTGTAAATTGTATTAGAATACCTTTTGATTTGCATGTGAGTCGTGGGTGCGTTTACAAACATACAATTTCGCTTACACATCACACCTAGACAGGAAAAATAATTTGTGGATCAGATAAGTTGTTCCGAGCTAGAATCCAACATTCGTGTTTTACCTATAGTTCACTATAAATATGATTTAAAAATATTTACTGCTTATTTCAGGATTCCTACAATGTCTTCTTGATTGACCAGTTGCACCCTACATTCACCTTATCTAATCTTTACAAAAAACTAATAAATTTTTCATCAATCATAATAATACACAAAAAGTGTAGGAGGGCCATGCTTCGGCACGAATGGGTCGGCTCGACCGGAGTAATACCACGGCCTCAAAGAAAACCGGTGTGAAATAACCACAGCGTCGTGTTTCGCTGTGTGAGTGAGGTTACCGGACGCCCAATCCCTCCCCTCCCAAAGTCCCACGCCAGTCCCTATATCTCCCAAATCCCTATCTCCAAGAGGTCGGTAACGCACTCGTAACTCCTCTGTTGTTGCGGATGTCGGGCGGCGCTGATTGCTTACCATCAGGTAATGGGTCTGCTCATTTGCCGACCAATCACATAAAAAAACAATGTCTCAACGAAACTTATTCAAATACCATATCGTATTAATATTTTTTTTAAGAATGTTATTTTCATAAGAAGAAGTTAGCAAAAGAAATTTGTTTGAATCATAACAATAAGTCGAAGATGACAAAAAGGTCAATTTAATTAGCGACTACAACAAAAATAAAAGTTTTTTAAAAACATCTTAGACGTTTGATGTTTTCTGTCACGAATGGTTGGGCAAAGGAAAAGTACGGACGGCAGCTGGTCAACTGAACTTTTTCTAAACAATACATTTTAAACTGTATTGATTTGGAATAAAGTAGGAAATTTAATGATTTTCTAAAGGTGCTGACGATTCCTCGATGTAATATAAAACATCAAAACTTGTATTCCTTAGAAGATTATTGAAAGAAACATTAAAAAGTCTATCAATTCGACAGAGCTTCATAATCGATCGCTAATTTTTTTTTTAATTCAAGTATATTATGTATACCTAACTAAGACTTTTAAAAAGAGTGTAAGCAAGTTTGCTATGTTAATAAATATAATAAAATACATAATAGGTATGTTACAAAAATTCTGATTTAAAACCTAACCTCACTGTCAACCAATAAAAATCAGTCAGCTCAGTGGCTCAATCAAAACAGAAATAACTCAAACACTCATCAATACAGCTGAACCAAACTCACTTGATAAGCTAAGCACACATAACTACATACAAATCACATCAGTTCACAATACTAACTTCAAAATCTAGTTGGACAGCAAACAATTGAAATCATAACCTGACCCGATCAGCTCAGGATTTTATCGAGCAGAAACCAGCTTGATTGATTCGAGCTAAACGATAGCATTAGGGTTATTCTGTACCGAATTCAGCTCACGTCCGCCACCGAAGGGTTTCGGATATTACGAAACCGAATACTGCGTGGTCATTCGTACCCGCGGTGTTATTGCAAGGGTTATTAAGTTATCTTACGGTTGCTTACATGTGTTGGTAATTTTGGTGATTTATGCCCGTGTAGTTGTTTGTAGGGGAAGTTTATGTGGTGATGATAATAAAAGTAAGTTGATTGAGTAATATCAATGTTACCGGGATGAGAAATTAGTATGGTTCGTTTGTGATGTGTGATGGCAGAGTCAGTTAAACAATAGCTGCGCTGGATAAAGTAATCGAAACAAGTTGAATGATTATAACAACAGTTTTTAATCGTTTTAATATTAATTGAAACGTACTTAACTTACCTTTTATGACTGAAATAATTAATAAATCACATGAAATCGTAATATTTGATACACGATAACCAACCGTAATAATGATTTAAAATCCACTTAAATACAAAACCTTTTTACATTACACAAAAATGATAAAAGAGTTTAAAAACTTAAATTCATATTTTCATCCACATTTGTAGTGAGATCATTAAATAATGATTTTTGTTCTGCTGACATGGTACTTCTTAAGCTGGCGACAGAAGTTTTGCTCCTCAAAGGTGGTCTGCCTCTTATCCTTCCTTCATATTTATGCCTTTTGTGGTTCAGAGGACTTTCAGTGTCAGACAATTCGTCACATTTGCGTTTAGATGAAGAAGATGACGAGTTAAAAGAGAATGATCTGTGTGGCGTTGTTGGAACTGAAACAGATAGAAATTATGTTTTAGATTTAAATGCGCCAAATAAAAATTTATATAAAAAACAGTTTTCGATAATTATGGTCATGAGAGGTAAATTTTAGTCAAACAAAAATTCTATAACAATAGTTGTGATAATTTAGCCTCCGAAATGACGAAATTACAAAGGTCAACCGTCATCATCAATCTAAAAGTCAAGCTACAAAGAAATTGTAAGCAACAGTTCCGAAAGCAGAAGGGCGGAAAAAAATAAATTTAAAAAGAAAAACGATTTGAGAACGCAGGAATAAAAAAAATGATAAAGCGCCGCCTCGCGATATGATTGAAGCGAGCCTTCTCATGAATAGAAAAATGCAATATTGCCTGGCACTTGACACGGAACGGAATTACGGACCGTTGCAAAATTTACGATTTGAATTCTATCCGTCGGTAGATACCAATTTTTTTACTTAGAAATATTCTTTCTGGCGTTCCTATAAAGTTTTTGGACGATATCCAGTCGTTCAGTTTGGGAGGTGGTAATAAAACTTGGGTCGGCGGGATATATTTCAAAGAATTTTTGTTTATATTCAACGAATAAAAGAAGATTGTATTGAGTAAGGCATAAAACTGAAAAAGAAATAAAATAGAATATTCTTTACTTTTGTAATACGGTATTGAAAAATATATAATTTAATTACTAAGTATATCTTTTTCCAAGGTCGTCGACTAAGAAAAAATACTTCCACACCCTCTAAGTTATAATACTCTGTGTTTACTAATATTATTTGTCTTTCAATCTGCCAGTGAATAACCAGTGACAATTTCTGGCAAATCCCTCCACCTCCACAGTGTAACATGGCGCCTATACATGTTAGTGGCTCGTCTTGTAACCGTGGCCATATCATGTTTGGTCGCATGCCTCAATTAGCAATCGGAAGGAACAAGGTATTATCGACAACGTGACAAGTTATTACAAGCCTTTTATTATTTAGAATATAATGTATACAAAGTGTATTCTTGAATTTTTACCGACTTCATCTGCTTATGTGAATAATATATCGTTTAAACTATCGTCTACTGGTATAAGAGTCTTAATAAAAAATACATAATGGTCCACATAGATCTACGTTCCGGCAAATCAAGGGTAATTTTTTTCGTATGAAATTGTGTTGTATTAAATATTTACCTATAGATAAAATCAGAGTGACAAAATAGAACATGCTGACATATAAAAAAAAGTAAGTAAAATATCATTAATTTAGTTATCACTTAAAAACTACACACACTGTCAGAATTCAATATAACATTTGAAAGGGAGTATAAGATTATGATCCCCCTAACCTTTTGGGAATTAAAAACCTTATGTTAAGGTACAAAGGTAACATTTTGATTGCTCGACACTTTTATTTATAAAAGGACAGACAGCTCGCATCCGACCTTTTATATCCGAATCAGTATGAAATAGACAAGGAATTTATAAGTAAATTGCCAACAATTCGTTGTTGTTGCTTTCTTCTAACAAAGGCTTGTTACTTACAAAGGAAGTTTATTTCCGTACACTAATAAAGGAAATGACAACAATATTATTGTTAGCTGCCAATCAAAATAAACGGACAGGTGGAAAATTTGAAAACGAATGGAAATTGAAGGATTTAGGCCGATTCGCTTACATTAACATTTTGTGTTCACTGCTATAAATAACACGAATCCATTTCTCCTGAATTAACATTCTTTAACGGCATTTTGAGCTAAACGTTAAAATTAAATCAAATGATGAAACAAAAGCAATATCGTGTTTAATTAAAACTTTAAATCGCAACATTCAAATGTCATACTTCTTGCTCCTGCTGCTAATTCGGCCCAAAATTCTTTAATACCCCTTCAAGCCGTTAAAATCCCAACTTAGACAATAATTGAATTTTATAGCCCATAAAATAAGGTCTATTTCCCAATAAACAGTGAAGTTAAGAAGTTTTGATCGCGAACATGATGAGGTTGTCAATATTTGCGCGCAGTGTTTGCCGCTCGCAGCGAGGGTGAGTTAATACGTTGATTTTAGAACGTAATTATTGGAAAATTTTAAGCAATATCAAAATTGGTGGAAAATTTCATCTACATAATATCATCACGGTTTTGTTAGATTTATAGAGGAGTTTTAAGCGATTAGGTTTGAACATTGAAATTCAGTTTTACAAATCTTAAACAATTTCTTCATCAACAAGTCATTTCAATTCACTATATAAACTGAGGAATTGCTGTAATATTGTAGCTTAAGGTACGTATACCAAATCGATTTCGATAGACCGTCTAAAGACTCAAGAAGTTCATATAAACAGGAAGACCATCAATAACATACTCACCAATATTAGGTGTCTGCTCACCCCAAAACACATTTTTCACTGCTTTAGCAACGCTCGACCAGATGTTGTCTTTAATCGAATCCTGATTCTTATCGATCCCGTGCGACTCTTCATTTAGCTTGCCCTCACATTCCTCCACGAGCCTCTTGACACTAACTTTCCTTTTCGTTATAACAAACTTAAACTGAATTTCCGTTTCTTCCTCCGTGTTCATTAAAACTGATGAAAGGCAGTTTTGTAGCGTCCCAGCTATGTTCGTTGTTAATGTTGATATTGCGTTCATGCCTACTTCTGGAGTATCGATACATGTTTTGAATAATTCATTCGATTCTTTTGATTGTTCTGATTCGATTTGGGGACTGTCTTCTTTAAAGTTTATGGCACGAGCTTGCATAGTTGAAGGCTCCCCGACTGGCGGCGTGTTTTCCTGATTGTTAGTATTCTTCTCCCTCGTTTTCGGAGTTCTCGCCATGATTATGCCTTGGTTTTCAAAGCGATTGATTAATGCTTGGAAGCGAGGGTTGTAACAATATCTTGGTTTCTGTGGCCCAGGTGTAAGCATTCTCTTTGGTTTTCTGAACACTGAAAAGTTGAAAACACGCATAAGTATAAATTCTGTAATATTCAAACTTTCTCTCTTTGGCGAAATGTTGAAAATTATTGCGATGAAGAGAGGATTCACCGAAGTATCAGCTGAAAATTCAAACTGACAACAACTTGAAGATAGTAATATTACACCCAATTATTATCTTTAACATTTTGTGTGAAATGTCGATGTACATTCACAGTCGAGACATATTCTACTTAGAGCACGATGTATTTAATTTTTTCTCACCTCGTTTCACCTTGGGTTGTTCGAACACGGTGTCTTCAGCAAACTTAACTTTCTTTGTTTTTATGGAGCCTTCCTGTGAATCTTGAAATGTGACATGTTTTTCCGTACTATCTTGACTACCGATACGATTTTTGCTGCCCGTAACTATAATACTCTTCAACTTTGGTGGAACAGCATCGGAATCTGACTTCGATGGCTGAAATGAATTTGAAATTATAATAAATAAATAACTTATAGTAAAATTTTACAATTTCATTAACAAAATTATTATTCTGCTGAAAATAAATTGGATCCTAATTTATGTAATTAAAGCTAATATTAACATGATCAATTTGTTAATGTAACACGCTTTAAATGAACGAGTAAAATCTATTTCGATAATATTTCTAAATTTCATTGTACCTCAATATTCATGCTCTGGGCTGCACTCTCCGTAGTCTCAATCTCTGAGAGTGGAGAGTCAGCTCCCTGATCAGCGAATAATGGCCAGCCATTGCAGGCGGCGTGAGTAGGCGTGCTGGTAGTAACAATCTGAGCTAACTTAATGAGATGTGGTAGGTGAGATGTAGGGGTCGTCATCTCCTGTTCAAGATCTGTAACTAAAATACCATTTATAGTTTACAAATTAAAACAGTGATCAATAAGAGGAACGGCATAAGTTTTATCATTACTACTATCATTTACCTTCATTATTCTCTATTCTCACCGGCGTAAGCTTATTAGCCGGTGATCCATCAAACTCATCACCAATAGTCTCCTCGTATTCCTCCACAACCTTCTGCTTCATCAAAGTCAGAAGCTTTTTTGTGTGAGGGGTAGCTGTTCTTTGCCTTCTCAGTTTAGGAGTTTTGGAAACAATTTTTGGATGAGGAGTCGTAAGTTCTATTTTAACCTCATCTTCACTACCACTAGACTCATAATCTACAATATTTTTCTTTCTTACGATTGGTGTTATAACAGCTGTTTTAGTATTCTTGTTAACGGCAATTATGCCTTCAATGTTTTCCCCATATTTGTTAACTTTTTCATAAATTGATTCAAATTTCTCATCTAGTTTTTCCATTTGAGAATTTCCTGCCTCATTTTCTTGCCCAATTAGCTCAGATATGCTTGTACACTTATCTATGTTAAAGAAATCTTCCATATTTTCGAAAACTTTGTTGCACTTTTTACAATGCAATGGGGTATGTTCTTTAGTTAAATGTTCAATGAAATCTGGGTTAAGCTGTTGAGGTTTGCAGAGGAACTGGTATCCTCGGCAAATAGGGCAGTCGTACGCAAGGTTGTGAGCTATTTTCTCATGCCTCCAGCGACAATCGGCGCAGCAGAAAACTAATCGACACACTATACAACGTACCTGGAAGTGGCAGTGAATATTAGCAAAGTTTATTTATCATAATTAATTAATTTCAAGTAAAATTAAAATGCAGAAAATAAGCTGCGACACTTAAGTATAGTTAAGCATTCTGTATAATCAGACCTATTAGAACACAGAATACACTCTAACTGAACACGAACTAAATTTGAACAGAATCAGCACCGACATTCACGCCTTCAAATCATTCATTCAGTCGCTCATCAGCTGCCGCAACTATTTCCTTATCAGTCAGTCCCTAATTAGAGACTGCATCGACTGGATGTGTGCCTCTAATTGCCTTGTTGACCTGATTGCTAACAGCTCGCAGTACCACGATCATTACTACGAGAACTGCTGATTGCCAAGATAATATTTAATTGATGATGGATCTTGTAATTTAGGTGATAATATTTTTTTAGAAATAAAATCATGATTTTTTGATGTCATGTAAACCAATATTGACAACGAACTGAAAACCAATAAATTTGTGCTCCACATTGCTATGAAGTGTAAATCAAATATCAATCAAACATCCACTTGAACTGTTAACACCATACCTGACTGAAAATAAATCGTTTACTCCCTAAACGATTTATTTTCATCACAGTTCCGTTATCATCAGTTATTTTTTAACCTTTATGTCAATGACGATTTCAAACCTTAATAATTATAGAAGCTTTAAGAATATGCTTCTGTTATATTATCAGGCCCGTAGTACGAATACCCACGCAACCATTAATACACACATACACATTAAGAACCAAAATGCATTAACAACAGAAGCACAGGTGCCCAACTAGAAGATGCACTAACTAAGCACAGCATCGAAAATACAAGCAAAAGAAGTACAAGAACAAACGCGACTCACATATTCACAAACCATAAATTAAAGATCACAAGATCAAGCCAAGAGCAAGTTGAGAAAGCCAAACAAAGTCACAACTGAACTTCTGTTCCAAGTACATTTTGCTCGTGGCATAACTCTGAACTACACTACGGAACCTACGTACGGGGACAGGCTTAGCAAAAAGCGAAAGCATGTTCTGGCCAACCGCATTACCGACCAAATGTGTGCTACATGCGGCCAAGGTTAGGCCGCTCGGAATAAGGACGTATGTGTAGTAAGGGATTTAGTGCACGACCTCCCCGCACTCATGTTCCCAGTTTTTGGACGTTTTACTTTTGCCAAGTTTTAAGTTTTTAACAGACGTGAGAAGTCTTGTAAAGTCGACAGTCTTGTTGTTTTTTTGCATTAGATATCTTACATATCAAAGTTTAACTAGTAAAAATAATTATGGCATTATATCCGTCTTTATTAATTGGTTAAATAACATCAACTGCACAGTTGACGCGGTGGCTGTACAACAGGCTGCCGTGCGACGTGTTGCGGGTTCGATTCTCGCATGGAATAATAACTCTTGTGTAGTTCACAAATTGTTGTTTCGGATCTAGTCGTCATGACAAGGGAGAAAAAAGAAATATCGAGAAACCCAAAAATTAAATGTGCTTCAAACTCAAGATCTTAAGCTCTTTACGACCACTAGACTACCAAGCAACAAACATAAGAAAGTTTAGGTACATGAAAAAAATACACACCTTTTTGGTACTAAAAACCTGGAGGCTATATAGTAATATTTACCAGTCTGCGTAAAAAACTAGAGAGGATTATTAATGGATGTGTCCCTCGAAATATCTCAAATTGAACAGGATAAGTAAATACCTTCATTTTTACCCTTTTCACCGGCGGTGTGTTGGTAAGCCCTGAATGTTTTGACACGTTGTCACACAATGTCTCGGTGGGGATCAAACACTAATCATATCGGCAACGCACACGAACATAATGTGAGGTCCTATATGAGGCGGTGTTCGTATGTACGTCATAATGTGTGGGGATTAACGTGTGTATTGTGTAGGTAATGTTGGTCGTGATTATGTTATATAGTATCTAGATTAAGTTTTATAAAATTTGTGATTGTGTTTTAAATTTTTTTTATTAGTTCGTACTTAAAAAGAGGTTGTGGCGTTTGAGTTCTTTACTTCGTCTGTCTTTTCTTCTCTTCTTAAGCACGTCGGTTTCGGCTAAACAGAAAATGTGTAATGTCTCATTTAGATTTTTATATAAGTACTAGCAGACCCAGCCACGCGTTGCTGTGGCTAAGGTTCTTGTAATATTACATATATTATGGATAAATAATTTGCAATAAAATAATATTTTGAGTTGGATCAAAATGCATACGGAATGAAAATCAAATTTGAAATCGGTTTAGTTTAGTAGTTTAATTTTACCTGTACAATTTTCCCCACTTCCAATCCCTAAATCTCTAAAATATTCCCTAAAATAATGCAATCGCCTCTGGTGACCAAGGGAGACACTAATTGTTTATTATGTAGTAATCCGTCAGCTGGTTTGCCGTCCTATCGTTATGAAAAAGTAAAAAAAGTAATCAAGATCAGAATAAAAGAATTTGATAACTTCATTCAAATTGGCCATGGAAAGTTTAACCCTGTAACTTCATCATTACAACTCCACAAAAACACGGTTCTCAGGACCCGGAGATGGTCTCTGACTGGACAGTCAACGCGGTGACTGGACAACCGGCTGCCGCGCAACATGTCGCGGTTTCGATTCCCACTCCGGACGACTCTTTGTGTAATTCACAAATTGTCGTTCCTAGTATATGTGTGATGTGTATGTGAAATTGAATGTTTGTAAACGCACACCACAACACAGTACCTACAATATCCAAAATAGGACAAAGTTTTATTTCAATCTTTAAACCGTGGTAATGTGAAACACAATAGTAAGACAATAGGTGTGCGAACGCCGGCGTTCGCTTGAAGTTTGATAATATAAGTAAAATGAGAAATGACACCTCCTTACTCGTTAACTACGATCGAACTGACAAGTCAATCAAAAAACAAATTGAACTTAATAATCCTACTACTATTATAAAGGCGAAAGTTTGTAAGTATGGATGTATGGATGTTTGTTACTCTTTCACGTAAAAACTACTAAATGGATTTGAATGAAACTTTACCACAATATAGCTTATACATCAGAATAACACATAGGCTACAATTTTTGAGGTTTCTAATGTGAGGTCGTAAAAAAACACATTTTTTGCGCTTACGTTTCCAAAGCGAAGAATCTGCATGTTTATGCTGAAGGAAAAAGATCGTTAAATGTAGTTTATAGGAGCATACTGCAGTAGCTACCTATAGACCTATGATAAGGGCTCTGCAGTGCTTAGTTACCGTATTTCTTACTTATTACTAGACTAGACGGGACGAACCTGAAGTCCACGCGAACGAAGTCGCGGGCAAAAGCTAGTAACATATAATACAGCACACTTTAATAAAAACAACTGAAACCCGTTCATTTTTCACGATCCCTGTCAGTTCCCAATCGATAGTAGATTAATAACTAAACAGTGATGTCCAACGATGCCGGGATCCCGGGATCCCGGATGGGACTATTCCCACGGGATCACTCAACTGAACGGCACTATACAGATGCAATTAAGATTAACTTTGAACGCTTTCATTTCGGTATATTTTTTTGTTGATGTTAATCGTTGTTACGGAAATTGCCGCTTTTATTTTATATGCCTACAAACGATCTCATGGGCTTTGTTTTTCAAGATAATTACGGGTAAAGTAAAAGTATTAGCAGTAATGTCAAGATAATAGAAGCCTTTAATCAGCAGTGACCACTTATATGCTGATAATGATGTGTGAAATTTTTGAAGCTTGGTACTTATACGGAAAAATGTTATTAAGTTTTGAGAAGTAAAGCGAGACAGACCTATTGTTCTAACTGATAAATCACTGTAGAATAAAAATTATATACCACTTAGTATTATTAAGTAGAAATAATTGGGAAACAGTTTTACAGTAAGTACCTAGGTTATGAGTTTTATTATACAAAACCAATCACACTTCACACTACACAAATTTATTGATAAAACGAGGTGAATTAACAACCACAAACTTACTACACCTCCCAAACAAAAGAAAACACATTCTTAACTTAAAATAATGTTACTATTAAAATAACCAATTGAGAATTTATTCGTTTGAAAATAAAATACATATTCGAATAAAGAACAATTTGAATTCAAATTACAAAGGCGATCCTAACAATGCAATTCATGAAGACGACTTTAATTTTCGACTTACCTAATTATTATGACAATGGATTGTTTTTATTTCAGTTTAAATATTACACTTAGATACAAAAAAAGAGAAATAATTACTTACGTCAACAGCTGGTTTCATTGTGATTCCATTTTATAACTGTTTAAAAAATAATTAATAAACATTTCTCAATTAATTATGTAATTTTATATTGTTATAATAAGTTCACTTATAATATGCAAATGTATTTTTTTCAACTTACCCACAATGATTTTGATTTTCGAATCTATTTCGGATACACACTTCGGTGTTAAAAAGTTTACTGGGTTGCCAATTTAAAATAAATAAGTCATGTTTGATATTGTTTATGGTGCAGTTGATTAATTCAAACATTACTACCTACTATCTGGAAAAAAACAATTGATTA